AACTTGGTCTTCTTGTAGGTTACTTAGTAAGGGGAACAGGAGGCTGTTTCTGACATGGACTCTGTTGCATGCTTTTTGATCACTTCCCCCTGGTGGGTGTGACTTGTTAGGCCACCATGAAAGAGGTTGTGCTCAGTCCTCATTCAACAAGAAGTGCTGGGGTGGGTAGGTGGGAAAGACCCCCTGAGGGACAGGAGGGAAGGGAGGGGGGAGAGGGAGAATGGGCCTAGGAGCAGAGGGACTAAGATTGAGATGTAAGTTGTAAACAAAGTTAAAAGTTTATTTGTTTATTTGTTTGTTTATTTATTTATTTACTTACTTATTAGTACATAATTTTGACTCTGTTGGTCTCCTTGTGGAACTCTTGTTCCCTCCAGGTCTTTCTATTTCTCTCTTCTTCCATAAGGTTCCCTGTACTCTGCCCAAAGTTTGGCTATGAGTCTCAGCATCTCTTTCAATACCCTAATCAGTAGAGCCTTTCAGAGGCCCCCTGTGGAAAGCTCCTGTCCTATTCCCTCTCTCCTCCTACTTCCGATGTCTATCCTGTTTGCCCTTCTGAGTGAGGTTTCAGCCTCTTCCCTGTGGTCCTCCTTGTGGTTTAGCTTCCTTAGGACTGTAGATTTTAGTATGTTTACTCTGTATTATAGAGCTAATATCCACTTATGAGTGAGTATATACAATATGTGTCTTTCTTCTTCTGGGATACCTCACTCAGGATGATCTTTTCTAGTTTCCACCATTCACCTGCAAATTTCATGATTTTCTTGTTTTTAATTCCTGAGTAGTATTCCATTGTGTAAATGTACCACAATTTCTGTATCCATTCTTCATTTGAGGAACATCTGGGTTGTTTCCAGATTCTGGATATTATGAATAAAGTTGTTATGAACATAAATGAGCAAATGTCCTTATTGTATGGTTGAGCATCTTTTGGATATATGCCCAGGAGTAGTTATTTCAAAAGGAGGATGGTAGTGATGTCTTCAGAGTACTACAATCAAGATAACTGTTTTCTAGGCTTTATTGCATAAATAAAAATTTCCCTTTGAATAATGGATATAATACAAAAAGCTGCTAGAGAACACATGGGTAAAATAGTGGAAATATGGTTTGAAAACTTGGGTTTATAATGTTCAGGAATTTGTTAATCAATTATACCTTGTAATAGTTACAGAATAATGAGACAATGCTCAGTGGTATGCTACTTCTCTAGGAACTTTTCTCATTCTATTTGTCTGGTCACCTTGTTCTTATCATTAGAAATTCAGGCTGACTACTTCCTTCTTCAGCTGGCAAGATCTCAGTGTGCAGGGGCTCCCAGAGCACTCTAATAACCTCTAGTTTAAATCTAATTATATTCTATGAATGTCTTCTGACTACATCGCTGTGCCCTCAGAAGGCAGAGATGATGTTTGAAAACTTGCTTTCAAACCACCGGATGTTTATGGTAAAAAAAAAAAATGTATTTTTCTCATCAAACTTACATTTTCTTGAGAACGGTTATAAAGCTAGAGTGGAAAAATACAACTAAAGTTTTCCTGAAAACACATCAAGTTAAAGGGTTTAACAATTATAAATAATGGAACCTGCTCCTGAGCGGTGGATTGAAATAATTGTGCCATTTAAAGTCTAAATAGGTTCACCACTGTAAATAGAGGAATCAAGGGCATCCACTTCATTTTAATACTCCTTTTCAAACCAAACTGCGTTGCTTGTATATCAAACAGCTTTCAAAGCCCCGAGTTAGCTTTTGAGAGACAGGCGCATCTCTGCATGTTTGCTGATTATGTTTTTAAACCTTTGAGAAATAAACAATTGCTGTTCATTTTACCTTCTTTTGTGATTTATATGAATACTCACAAAGTCCACATCTAGATTCTGAGCTCTCTCAGTAATGCCTACTGACAAATGCACTTGTAAATATCTCTGACCAGTTTTTTTTTAAAAATGCAACACCACTTCTTGTGTTAAAGTAGTGAGGAAACATCCTGTTAGTTATCTTATGCTATAAAGTAAAACAGAAAGATACAGAACACTGGCTAAGGTTTGCAAGTTATACAAATGGAAAGTGACACTGTGAAATTTGTCCCTATCATTTTCCACTTCTCATTCAGATGTTTTACTTGTCTCTAATACATCTATATTCACCATGTTTGTGGTAGTCTAGTAGAGTGAAGAAGTGTGGTATCTTAGAGAACAATTAAAAGAATGTTATGATATGACTTACATTTGCTCCCACAATGGCTCCCTTGCTCAATGAATAAAGTCTAATTTACTTATTTAAGAATATAACTGTTATTTACACATGTTGAGTATGTATCCTATTTTCCCAGTATAATTGTTTTATAAGACACTAAGTCCTAGTGCTATTAAATGCTTTTATTTTATTTTTAAATTTTTTGTTTGTTTTGATTTTCAAGACAGGGTTTCTCTGTGTAGCCATGGCTGTTCTGGATTCACTTTGTAGACCAGATCAGCCTCAAACTCATAGACCTCCACATGTCTCTGCCTCCCAGAGTGTTGGGATTACAGGGGTGTGCCACCGCAATTGGCTTAAATGCTTTTCTTTTAACACAACGTTCTACAATTTTTCTTCTTAGTCTTGTACTTTTGTATTTTATATCTGCATTCTTTAATCTATCCATCCATCCATCCATCCATCCATCCATCCATCCACCCACCCATTCATTGATTCAGGAAACAGTACTCATTGAGATTCCCAGAGGTGAAACACAGTACTTGGCATTGGGTATTCAAGTAGCCAAGAGAAACAAAACATAAACAGTGACTGTTGATGTCATACAGGCCAGAGTGAGCGGTCAACAGAAGTAAGCTTGCCCTCCAGTTCTTTGTATGCCATTTCATATTATGTTAGGTCTACACAAATTTTAATCTTTATTATTGGTTTTTTCTGTACTACCTCTTTTTGTGAATTATAAGAAGATTATGACTTTATCATTAAAAAGAAATTTGTTCTTGATTCTTTGTGAGTTTTTCATCATATACCCAATACCACTTATCTCCCTATCCTCTTGTATCTACCCTTCTACTTGCAACTCCCCCAATAACATACACACACACACACACACAAACCAAAGCATAGAAAACATGTCATTGTGGAAGTTTTAGTATGTCCACAGTATGTCCCTTTACTTATACATATTCACTTGCAAATGCTTACTGCAATGAGTCATTGGTCTGGTTTGAGATCTCTGGCTTCTATAACACCATAAATATTGGACTTTCATCTGGACTCCTCTTTCCTGTTGTTGCGCTGGGTCATGGAGACCCAGCTTTGGGATATAGGTGTGGAGCCCTGGATTTAGAGCCCTGGATCTGGGCTGGTAGCTAAACTGTCAGTCCACCAGTTATCCTTTATCTCTACCACCAGGGTGAGCTCTCCGTCACTGCTCTGTCTAGGCCACTCAGTGTTACCATAGGCAGGAGGCAGGGTCAGCTCTCCTGCTCTCATGACTTCAGGGTAGGCTCACCTGGCTCCATGTCTTCAGAGCAACTTCTACTATGCTGTCCAGTGAGGTTCAAGACCCATTCTACCAAGAGCTGCAGCCTAGGCCAGCTCTCCCTCTCTCACACCCTCAGGGCTGGCTCACCCATGCCTTTGCCATCAGAGTCTTCTCCATTGTACTGCCCATGTGAGGTGCAGAGCCTGCTCTCCTAAGTGCTACAGCCAGTGAGGGGGCAGGGCTAGCTCTCCAGTTCGCATGACCCCACGGTCAGCTTTCCACTGCAGGTAGTGAGGAGGCAAGGGAGAAGTCATCACCCCTGCACCCAGGCCACCTCATGCCAGATGAGTGGTGGGACCAGCTCTCCCATGCTCTTACTCTTAAGGCTGGCTCACCTGAACCTCCACAGGGCCCAGTTCTACTATGCTACCTAGGGGAGGTACAGGGTCTGAACTCCAGAGTACTGCAGTGGGCAAAGGACAGGGCTAGCTCATCTGCTTTCATGACCACTGGGCTAGTTCTCCCAACTGCCAAAGATAGTAAGGGGTGAGGTGAAGGTGAGGTGGGGTGCATCCTGCAACCCTGCCACTTCACTGCAGACTAGGGCTACTCAGGTTTGGGTCACATGCTCTGTCACACCAGGGTTGGCCCTGCTGTGCTGTCCAGTTGAGGTACAGGGCCCACTCTCCCAGGTACTTCAGCTGGTGAGAGGCAGAGCTATCTCTCCTGAGCTTATGACCGTGTGGGCAGCTTTCCCAACTGCCAGAGGTGGTAAGGGACAGGAAAGGACATCACACCTGTGCTAGTGCCACTCCATAGCAGATGAGTGACAGGGTCAGCTTTTCCACACTCATGACCTCTGGGATGGCTCAGCCACACATCAGCTGCTAGGACCATATCCACTGTGTGTCCTGGGCAGGACAGGGCCTGCACTTCCCAGTGCTGTTGCCAGTGAGAGATGAGACCAGTTCTCCAGAGAGCCACATCTAGTAAGGGGACGGACCAGTTAGTCACTGCCCCTGGACATCTACATGGTCTCTGGTTGCTGCTCCAACCAGGGACATCCCTTGTCCTCTAATGTTAATATGAACCATGGACATTGATGCTGACCCCTGCTGCTGTGTAGCCACAAATTCAGACCTTCACCCAGAGGCAGCTCAGGCTGGATCTGAATCATGGTCATGGGTGATGGGGCTGGCATTCATAACAGGCATAACTTCTCTTTACCCTTGCGCCTGCAGTTCCAGCTCTTTTCATAATGCTTAAGCTACAACACTTCTCTTTCTCTCCCATCTGACGACCACACACTCACATATTGTGATGGCTCCTGTTGCAGAATGACCATGTGCTGGCAGGCCCCTAGGTAACATCCTCCATCCATGTTCGCTGTGTGGAGACAAGCAGGTTATCTCTGGCCTTCCTGTACCATGTGCTGGAAGGAAGGTCTATGGATGGGCATAGTGGTCCATAGGACTCTGTCTGTTTTTTCTTCTCTTCTACTGTGCTGCCTGGATTTGATTTGATTTAATTTGATTTTTATGAGTCCTAGGCATGAGACAGCTTTGGCCACAAGGCGAGGAATCAAGCTAGGATGAACAAAGGAGTGCCATCTGCTCTTCCCGACTGATGTAAGCACAACACCACCAACAAGGTGTCTCTGGTCATCTGCCAGGGGGTGTCCACGCTATCTCTTTTTTTTTTGGATTTTTTTTATTAATTACACTTTATTAACTTTGTATCCCCCCATAAGCTCCTCCCTCCTTCCTTTCCAATCCTGCCCTTCCACCCTCTTCTTCATGCATGCCCCTCCCCAAGTCCACTGGTAAGGGAGGTCCTCCTCTCCTTCCTTCTGATCTTAGTCTATCAGATCACATCAGGAATAGCTGCATTGTCATCTTCTGTGGCCTGGTAAGGCTGCTCCCCCCTAAAGGGGGGTGATCAAAGAGCAGGCCAATCAGATTATGTCAGAGGCAGTCCCTCTTCCAATTACTATGGAACCAACTTGGACACTGAACTGCCATGGGCTACACCTGTGCAGGGGTTCTAAGTTATCTCCATGCCTGGTACTTGGTTGGAGTATGAGTCTCTGGGAAGACCCCTGTGTTCAAATTTTCTGGTTCTGTTGCTCTCCTTGTGGAGTTTCTGTCCTCTCCAGATCTTACTATTTTCCACTTCTTACATAAGATTCCATGCACAGTTGGCCATAAGTCTCAGCATCTGCTTTGATAGTCTGCAATGCAGAGGCTTTCAGAGGCCCTCTGTGGCGGGTTTCTAGCCTGTTTCCTGTTTTCTTCTTCTTCTGATGTCCATCCTCTTTGCCTTTCGGGATGGGGATTGAGCATTTTTAGTCAGGGTCCTCTCTCTTAAAGAATCTGAATTTACTGTTTTATCCAGAAGCTTATATGCATTCAGAGCAATGGTAAGTTGGCATTATACAAGGTTATTCTATAATGCATCCATTGTATGTATATATCATAGGCACACTCTTTTATAATTAAATTTTTATTTTTTATATCCCAGCTGTAGCTCCCTCCCTCATTCCCTCCCAATCCCCCCTCCCTCCCTCATCTCCTCCTATGCTTCTCTCCGTGGACTTGGATAGGAACACTCTTTATTACAGGCTATATACTGTGCTTCTTTTTGAAAGGCCCTTTGAAAGACTATGAGATTTGAACTCAGAATTGACTTTTGTTTTTCTGGCATATGGAAATCTATGATCTCTTGGATGTCAATGGCTTAATAGAGAAAATAGACACTGTGGAAAGTAAGAGAAGCATAAGTCGGACTTGAAGAGTGAAGTAGAGATTTGGAGACGGCACTCTCACTTCCTAACTGATTCAACTCCATCAGAGGTTTGTAGATCTTTGGTGTTCTGCAAACACATTCTTCAGTTTTCTTAAGTGAGCTTGCATGCCTTGCTACCAAATAGTAAAATACATCCAGTATTGGAACTGGAAGTGAAAGACCAGTGGGGAAATTTTCAGAATATTAATGCTTTAGCTGTTTTTCTGTAGGTGTGATAAAATATTTTGAGTCAAAGCAATTTGGGAGGAAGGGCTTTTTTCAGGTTCTTCTTCTAGGTAACAGTCCACTAGTGAGAGAAGTCAGGGCAGTAACTCAAGGAAGGAACCTGGAACAAAAACTATAAGGAAAGTTGTTACTGGCTTTTTGTTGTTGTTGTTCTCTGGGTCTGTTTAGCAAAATTTCTTATATCATCTCATCCAAAATAGCTGCTCAGCGATAGTGCCACCTACAATGAGCTGGGCCTTCTCACACCAATAATCAATCAGAAAATCTATCAGAAATGTGGCCACAGGTCAATCTGATCTGGGCATTTCCTCAAATGATGGCTCTTCTTTCTAAGTACTCCAGGTTGTATCAAGTTGAAAATAAAAAATTTAACCAAGAAGGAGGTCCCGGATAAGATGATAAATCCTCACTTAGCAAGAAAAATGGGATGGACATTGGATGTAGGAGAAAAAGAGAAACAGGACAGGAGCCTACAACAGAGGGCCTCTGAAAGTCTACCTAGCAGGATATCAAAGCAGATGCTGAGACTCATAATCAAACCTTTGGCAGAGTGCAGGGAATCATATGAAAGAACTGGGAGTTAGTAAGACCTGGAGAGGATAGGAGCTCCACAAGGACCAACTATATCTGGGCACAGGAGCCTTTTATGAAACTATATCTCCAACCAAGAACCATGCATGGACATAACCTAGAACCCCTGCTCAGACGTAGGCCATGGCAGCTCAGCATCCAAGTGAGTTTTCCTAGAAATGGGAACAGGGACTGTCTCTGACATGAACTCAGTGGCTGGGTCTTTGACCTGCACCCCCTACCAAGGGAGGAGCAGCCTTGCTAGGCCACAGAGAAGGACATTGCAGCCAGTCCTGATGAGACCTGATAAACTAGGTCAGATGGAAGGGCAGGAGGACCTCCCTTATCAGTGGACTTAGAGAGGGGCAGGGAGGAGATGAGGGAGGGTAGGATTGGGAGGGAATGAGGGAGGGGGCTACAGCTGGGATACAAAGTAAATAAACTGTAATTAATATTAAATAAATAATTAAAAATTAAAAAATAAAATTAATACATTTTAAAAAAGAAAATAAAAACTAACCAGCTGTTCTATTCAAAGCAGAAGATGAGTTGACTTAGGGTAGATCTTGATAAGCTGATTCTTGCATTTTCTCAGCACAGGCTAATAGTGAGTCTTAATGAAAAAAAGAAAAGAAAAGAAAAACTAAAGAAAAAAAATAAAGGTATGTAATCAGCCAGTTCAAAGAGAATTGTGCAGCTTGACAAATGTGAAAATGCCCTGTGAGAGCTCTAGCTGCCTTAAATTCTGAAATTAGTGAAATTCAGATCAAGAAATCAACCAAATTCTATGTTGAATTTGCAGCTGTTAAAGTCTCAGCCCTCTTACACATCTGTGACCAAATTACAGAATTCAGCAAAATACAGATTCTGACTTCAGGAATAACATGTGGATTGGAGGTGGTAGAAGATATCTTAATTTTCCCAGCCTTTTCTTCTTTCTGTTTTAGGCATTTAATGCTGAAACATTGATAAGGCTTTCTAAAACAGTGCATTTTCAGTGATTGTCATTTGGTATGTGTCTTACAGGATGTGGCATTGCCCTCATATTCTAGAGGAGCTCATTACTTCTCTGCCTCCGTTCATTGTCTCATACATCCATTTATTCATTAGCTCTTTTATTCATCCATCTTCTCTTGAACATGTAATGAGCTATTGGTACTCTTCTAGGCATAAAAGAGACAATAGTGAATCAAAAGAAAATTTTCTCCACAGAGCTCATATTCCAATGGGAGAGAAATTTCAGACATTGGCCCAATCTTTAAAAGAAATAAAATAAAGGGATGAAACAGAAACAGTTGTAGAGGTGGTAGAAAAGATACAACATTTGGGTACTTGGGGTGTTTTCACGTGCAGCAGGATAACTGAGCTTGGACAGAAATAATAGCAGATTAACAGGAAAAACTAGAGTGAAGCAATGCTAAGGAGAAGAAAATAATGTAAGGACTCCAAAACTGTAAATAGGATATTTAAAGAATGAATACATATACATATGTATATTTATAGAATGAATACTGATTAGAATGTATATACATATACACTCATATATATTCTAATTATAATGATTGACAGTCTGAAGAAAGTTGGTGCTTCTGGAAATATTGGGATTTTGGTAATAGTGAAGACCTAGGAATGATGATCTGTCTGGAGCAGTACTGAACAACAGACAAGATGTGAGCTACATATATGTAATCTGGGAGTTTCCAGTTGCTATATAAAGTCATACAAGGAAACAGGTAAAATGGATTTCAATAATAAAGTTAATCAACCAGAGTATAATCAAACTATTATTATTTTAACATGTATTATAATATTATTTGGTTGTTTTTCATTATACTACCATATTAAGTCTTTGGATGTGATGCAATCATGTTACAGTTAAAACACTTATCAGTTTTGGTTAGTCACAAAGATTTAGCAGGGGATAAATATATGGAAATAGTGTCCCTGTAACATGAGGCTTTTTTATTTCTCACATGGCAGCACATATTTTAAATCTATGAAGAAAGGCTGGATATTTCACAAGAAGTGGAAAAGAGAGTAGAGCCCTGTGAGACAGCAGTTTTGGAGGTTGCAAGTGAGTCCTTCACCACTGTAATGTTCACAACATTGGAAATGACTAAAGTCCAGCATTTGCTCATCTAGAGAGACCTAGGAATGGAAATATGCCATTTTGTAGGGGAGGTGTTGTGTACAACAGAACATGATGCATTTTCTACATGTGAGCATACCGCCATAGAAAATGAAAGTCTAAATATGTCAAAGACCAACAACCAACACTAGAATTCAAATAATTCTCCTCATGCCCACTTCTCCTCCTCTCTTTACCTTCTCCCCTCCACCACCTCCCCTTCTCCCCTCTGCTCCTCCTATGAGTCAACTATTAGAGTCAATTGAAAACAACTGGAATCATTGCACCATGAGGGGGGGCGGGGAAAGCATTGGATGACCTTTGAGTGGAGCATTTATAGAAAGAGACAGACAACCAGGCCAGGGCAGCCAGAGCCAGGATACAAAGTGGATAAAATGTAAATAATGATGATGATGATGATGATGATGATGATGATGATGAAAAAGAGACAGAGATGAAACCAATAAAATTAGAGACTGAGCCAGATGTTCCTTCTGGTTACGAGTTCCAACTCTTTTTCAGGCCCACTGCCTTTCTTGAATTTGGGTTCTAAGACATTTCTGTTATCTGCTACTGAAGAAGTCCCTCTCCTTTCATTATCCTGCTTTAGTAATTGAAATTACTATGTGTAAATTGTCCATTTCTTTTAATGGGATACCCAGTGAGGTCCTGGTCTGAGCAGGATTTCTGACTGTCACAAGGGATTGACCAAAGTCAAAGACCAAATATATAACCGTGCAGTAGAGCAAACCCATAATAGCCAATTAATAATCTTATTTTAAAATCTGGCTATTTATTTCCTGATTTGGTATCCCTGTTTCAAAAAAGAAGAACATATTAAGTATAACATAAAGATTAAAATATCTATGACTCCAGGAAACAGAACTGATTGCTTTTTTTTTTTTTTTTTTTTTTTTTGGTGTATCACTCATTGACATGAATACAAACT